TCCCTACACTTATATAGGTTATGGACACACAAATAATAAACAGAGACATAAAACCTTTTACATCTGCAATGCTAATAAAAACATAGTACAGAATATAGGCCCTGGAGCACCTGCCTGCCTTACCTGCTTACAGAGAGATAACTTGGGAAATTTCAGGGTGCCTCTCCATAAGCAGGGAAGCTGGGGTTCCCTACTCAGCCAGACCTGTCCCCAGCAATCACAGGAGTGAGTCTGGGTGAGTGAGGAAATGACCTGCTTTCCTTGGTCAGTCAGACCTGTCCCCTGCGATGATCAAAAGCCCCAGTTTTTCCTGCTAAGCCAGATTCACTCCTGCAGCCACAGGCGATGGAGAGGTCTGGCTAAGTTGGCCTCTGAGATTACATTGCACCTTGTCCCGCACCACTAAGTGCAGGACAAGGAGTGATGTGCATTTCACCCAATTAAGTAGATCAGCTGTGCCACAACATATCACGGCATAGTTGATCAGCTTTATTCATCGATGTCTATTTCTAACCTGCGTCTCAGTTCCTGGGTAAATGCCATAACCATGACATTACTAGAGCTGAAATATGAGAGTGCCTTTCTCGCAAACTCTGTCGCGACCGATTCAGGCTGGACATAAGAAAGAACTTCTTCGCTGTCCGAGCCCCCAAGGTTTGGAATAGATTGCCACCGGAGGTGGTTCAAGCACCCACTTTGAATGCCTTCAAGACATTTGGATGTCTATCTTGCCAGGATACTATGATCCCTGCTGACTTCCTGCCCCTGGGGCAGGGGGCTGGACTCAATGATCCTCCAGGGTCCCTTCCAGCTCAAATGTCTATGAAATCTATGAAATCATCCTCGTTTTGTTTTTATAGCATAGCGTTGTACCCTAACATCAGATTTTTCAAGATTTTGCTTTAATTTGCTCATTTTCCCAAAATGAATTTCCACATACAGTTAGTGGAGAGACTTCATGTATCACTTTGGTTCCTCTTTTCTTTGACAGGATAGCAAACTTAGTATAAGCAACATTCTGCTTGAGAAGCCAAAATATGGTAAATTATTCAGCTTCATATACTATCCATTTTGGATTAAGTGTGGACTACTAAATGCCTTTTCAACTCATCAGAAAAACTAGACTTGCTGAATTATAAGCTGAAGGATCTAAAAAGTTAACTATTTAATACTTCAAACCCTATATATAAAATACAAGATAAAAACCTTTGTGGAAGTCTTTATTTAGTGCCTTGTATTATATTTTAACAACATGACAAAAGCTACATGTTCATTAAATCTATGCCATTTGTCAATTAAGTGAGGAAAATTATAAAAAGAACGCGTTTCAAACACGTATGTTCCTTGCTCATAGCATTTGACATTATTTATTATAGTATACACCCTGGCAGAGGTATGCAACACAGTCCTGTTTCGCTGAAGTTTCTTTCTTTATAGTGAATTATTTGTGATAAAGATCTCCCACATCTGCTCAGTGGTTCTCTAACGCACATAACTGATGAGAATCAATCAGTTCATAAGCAATATCCAGCATAACAACATCACATTTAGGATTATGCTGGTATAACATTTAGGATAATGCTGGTATAACAGTTTACTCACTGGAGACATTAAATAAGCGAGACAAACAACAACTAGAGCTTCCAGTAGGTTCTCTAAAGTCATATTTAAACATAAATGATAATATCAACAAAACAAAGTTTGCAACAAAAACATATCAATATTCTGATAACATTTCTCAAAGTTCCCAAAGTTGTTTTATAAATTCTCAGGATAGTATGTGCAAGACCTATGAAATATTCAAAACACATTCCAAAATATTACTTAGCTCCAAGGTTGGTTGCAGATTACATTTCACTAAACTTTTGAGCAAAATTGAGCTTAGTCATGGACAAGCACTGAATATGAAATGTGCAGTTCACCTGATTTCAGTGCAAAACCTGGACCAACTCAATGGCTTTAACTGAGTTTCACCTTGAAACACAAAGTGACAATTCAGTAAATGCAAACCCACACAAACACAAAACCACTTAAAAGTTTTAACACAAATTCCTATGAATCAAAATCACCAAGATGTATATTTGTCTCATATGGTTAACAACTACTACACATCATGAAGCCACATGTTGCATGACAGGACCAAGAAAGTACTGTCACTTACCACAAGTGAGAGGGGTCTTTTCCATGAGACAACACCAATCAGTCCTGACAGAAGCACCTGAAATCAAATGAAAAGGATCACCAAAAAGGTACCAGTTTTATATTAATACTAAAAAACCCTGAATAATAATATTCTCAAGGCAAGAAACTGGTTCCCAAAGTGCTGGTACTGGAAGCTAGAATGTTGCAAGATTATTCTATTTCCAAAACAGCTGAAAACAGGAAGTACTGTAAGTAGCAAGCAAAGCCTGTTTGTGTTGAAATTTGGATCTGCTTTCCAGACCAAATTCTTTCTGACACATTCACAGCAAGTCCTGAAACTCATTCTTTTACCAAGCACTAAAGCATTACACTTTTACCAGTGTAAGCGATTGGAAACCAGTCTATACTTGTAACCAAAGTTCAGCACATATAGATTGGTTTAAAAATGGCAGAATACAGTCTGAGTTTTGTGCCCGCACCAAAGGGTGAATACATGTTCTGTTCACTACCGACCTAAACTATGCTGCTTACATAAAACTGTGTAACTTAGATCATTTCTGCCTCAGGATTTTTTAATGTTTGTACCTAACCTAATAAAACATATGATGTACTAAATCAGTGGTTCTAACAGGGGGCTGTCTTGAGGCCAGTTACAACGTCAGCCCGCCCACCTGTCTAGAGCAGTCCGCCCATGTGATTTGTCTGCCACACCTTTGTTCTAAGAAAAAAAGTTGTTACTAGGTGTGGAGGCTGCCTCTTTAATGCCCTAATGACAAAGGCGTATTACATGGCTCTGACCTTCCCTTTACTGTGTCCCAAGCCTCCCCACGGCCCTGCCTCCTTCTAGTCATTTCACTGCCTGCAGCTGCTAGCCAATTACCCCACTAAGCTGTTGTTCAGCCAACCTGTAGCTGTGGAGCTCTGCCTAGCCTGTAGGGCTTTCTGTCCAGGCTGCTTCTGCCCTTAAAGAAGCAGGCACATTAATACCCTGCTATGGTGGTGCTCAACTTTTTGGCCCCGCTGGATGATGAGTGGTGTGAGGTTGATCCACAGGATGAATCAGGCACTGTGCCACCTGTATCTCCCAGGACCTGCCCTGATAGGCCCCATGCCACTTCACTAAGCACCACTCCAATTGACCCCATGCTGCTCCATGCCACCCCAATTGGCTCCACGCTGATAGGATCAGCCTCATACTGGCAGAATCGGTTTCATGCCACCTCACATACCCATTCCAGGAAACAGGGCCATGCTATTCAGCCTGTGGGACTCCCTATGTGTCCGGAAATTTAGCAGCAAGGGAGTGGTAGTTAATGCTGTCCCTGCTCCCAAGCCACTGAATATCCAGCACCACAGGAAGCCCCACAGGCCAGATGATACAGTTCTGTGGGCCTGGGGTTGAGTATTCCTGTACTATTTTATAAATATGTTCAGTGCCAAATGAGAAGTGTTAAAATAAGATTTTTTACATCACTGGACTAGTTTTACAGTGGTCTTCGAGTACAAATCAACAGTAGGTGGAAAGTAATACTAACATATTTTGATAACATCTAACATGCCCTGCTATTTATTTGCTACTCAGTAGCGTCCATCAAAAAACTCTTTCAACAAGCTAAAATATCCAGTCACTCATGTTGTACAGCTCAGTTGTTTAGACATAAACAGCTGTGGACCTAACTTTGTTATAAGAAAAACCCTGGCCTTAAATTATGCCATTACTTATGTGGAATTATGAAAGCCTTTTGTTGCACCCTCAGAAAAAGACGACTACAGAATGGCTCTTTATTCAAGTGACACAGTCAGCCTGGCCAACTTTCTGCTGGGCCAGGGTAAGATGGCAACCCTGAAGAGCTGGCGAAACCGGCTCACTGGGACCAGGATGGACGATGCCCTGCAACTCTTCCACCTGCTGGTGCGGGCCCGCCTCTCACTTGAATTCAAGTATGAAGTCCTCCGGCAGATGGTGTCCACCTTTGAGGAATGCTGGGCTGTCGAGGGGGCACTGTGCCAAGTCGAGGCGGGGTGCCTGCTCCTTGCTCTGTGACATCACCAGCTGCTCAAGGTGCAGAGGTGCATCCAGCGAGCTGAGACCTCGGGCTTTGTCCATGCGGGCCGACCCCTGATGCCCGCATGGGCGTCTCCACTGGCAGAACTGTATATATGTATATGTGTAAATACTCCTTTTGTTCTTGGTTTTTTGTCTAGTGTGTATGGACAGGCCTTGCAGGCCATGAGCCCAGACTTTGTCCGTGAGGCCCAGATCCTCAGACCAACCTGTACATGATCTCTACTGCCTCCCATTTGTCACCCTCCCCAGAATAAACGTCTCTTAAAAGTCAAAGTCAAATGACTGATATTTACTAGGCAGTGACCTAACAGCTAAGACACTAACCTATTCAAGAGTTAGTCCTATTCAAGGGTAGGGAGCCTTAATCACACATGGCAAGGATAGGGATGAAGGGGAACAGGACATGCTTTATAAAGCATATCTTCAGAAATTGAAAATACCCCTAAGGTCTAAAATTTGCAGGCCTTACTCTGCACGTTGAACAGAAGAGAGAAGGGAGGCACAAAGAAAGAGGCCACTGTCCCCTTATCTGGAGTTGCTGAAAGGGAAAGAAGCATGTTCAGCACTTGATCCTCTCACCTGCACCAGGCCCAGCAGGCTGAGGGAGCTGCTGCAATCCTGTGCACAACCACTCAGTTGTCAAGCCCTCTGGGAGCAACCACTGGCAGCTACCTCAAGTTCATCCTAAGGATGGCAATTCCCACCACACTATGGCTAGAAACAGATTCTGCATTTGTCCCAAGGCCAGCTGTGCCTGTGTTTGTCCTGAAATATAAAGTCTCAGGATTGTAATCTGGGTTTAGTGAGTAGCTGAATGCACTTTCACTTTTCTGCCACTGATTCAGGTGATGCAGTCCTGGGAAAACCATTCATACGCACTTCAAGATGTCCCTGGACAAACTGTTAACACTTCTTATCCCATTAAACTTTTTTAGGGTTTGTCCCAGGACAACAGACATGGATGTCTGAATGACAGCACTTTGTCCTGGGAGAAAATATTTCTCCCAGGACAAATGCAACATATCCATAATGGCACTTTATCATGCATCAGTAGATGCATGACGAATAGATCCAAAGAGGTGATACTTCCCCTCTATCGGGCGCTGGTCAGACCGCAGTTGGAGTACTATGTGCAATTCTGGGCACCGCACATCAAGAGGGATGCGGATAACCTGGAGAGGGTCCACAGAAGGGCCACTCGTATGGTTAAGGGCTTGCAGACCAAGCCCTACAAGGAGAGACTAGAGAACCTGGACCTTTTCAGCCTGTGCTAGAGAAGGTTGAGAGGCGACCTTGTGGCTGCCTATAAGTTCATCATGGGGGCACAGAAGGGAATTGGTGAGGTTTTATTCACCAAGGCGCCCCCAGGGGTTATAAGAAATAATGGCCACAAGCTAGCAGAGAACAGATTTAGACTGGACATTAGGAAGAACTTCTTCACAGTTAGAGTGGCCAAGGTCTGGAACGGGCTCCCAAGGGAGGTGGTGCTCTCCCCTACCCTGGGGGTCTTCAAGAGGAGGTTGGATATGCATGCTCTCCACGTGGGGCCTTCTATCCCCAGCTCTTTTTCCTGCCTATGCAGGCGGTTGGACTCGATGATCTATTGAGGTCCCTTCCGACCCTAACATCTATGAATCTATGAATCATGCATGACATGCATTTATTATTTCAGTTATAAAGGAACACTTTTAGGAATGTTCTGAAGTATTTTATTGGGGATACCCCATATAGGTAGAGTTGATTTATTTAATGGTACACGGGTAAGAAAGCTGTAAAATCTTAAAAATATATCAGAACTACCTTTGGACTCCTTGAGTGATATGACATAAAAGTTTAAAGCCGTAACTTTTTAATCACACAGTATAATGCTGATTTACATGTGACCTGTGACTTGGGCAGAGCAAATTTTTGGTATAGGTAAGAATCCCATCCTGAAGGCAAGGAGGTAAAATAATTTTGGCAGAATATGATTTTTTGGTAGCTTTATTAAGACTTTTGAATACAGGTGACGGTCCAGGGAAGATGAGCAGTGAGCTGGTATGGTAGCAGTAGTTGCAAGAGAATACGCTTGTTACATTTCAACAATGACACAGTTAATCTCAATATATATGGGGAATGTGCATGAAGTATGCATTTTGTACAAAACGGAGAACAATCCCTATACTTAGGATGTCCTGACTATCCATTATATATGACTCCTGCAACTTTTTTTTGCAGACAATCCCTTTTTCCCCTCACAGACATTGCAAATTTGGCAGGAAAAAAACCCTGGAGCCAAAGAATGTCCTTTCTTTGTCCCATAAAATTATGTTCAGAGTTATGTTCAGTTCAGTTACATCCACAGATACAAACTTCTGAAGTCTCAGTTTCCCTTGCATTGTCAGATGTATTTTGGGCATAATAATAATTATTATTATTCTTATAAAAACATGAACATTCTAATGTAAGGCTGGGTGTATGCCCAGCTCCTGCAGAAGCAGCTGCAACATGCATTGTTCTAGGAACAATGGGAACAGATAATCAGTTGTTTGGCAGTGGGGTACAAGGCAGACTGGATCTCTCCCAACCACTCTGCTGCTCACCCAATCTAGTTGATATCCCCCAGGGACATTGTGTGAATTTGTGAGGTTTGCCAGTTTAATTTGTTTTCAGGAGTTGGAAACACTGGCAGTGGTTTATCTCCTGTTCTTGGAGTAGAACACAGAACAAGAGCTGCCCTTAGAAGAGAACAGAAAGATTGATCTATTCTTTTGTGACCACATCTCAGATCCATCAGGGGTATTTCTGAGACGATACTACAGAATCATGTAATTAAAGATTATCATCATGTTTATGAATGAAGAAACAAAATTGGGCGTTTCTGGTCAAACCAAAATAGCCATTTCTTATCTTCTGTGTACCTAACTCTGCAAACTAAATAATACATTTTAAATCAGTAATTTTAATTCTGAATGAAATCTTGTTCTCACTCAAGTCAACAGCAAACCTTACCTCCCCTACCTTCGTAG